GAGCGCCGCAGGCAGCCCCGGGTAAGTGGGCGCGCAGGGCCCGGCCGGTGGCTGCAGGAACCTGGGGTCGTTTTGCCGGTGGTGTCGCCGGGAACGGTAAACAGCCGGTGATGTATCCGAGGCGTAGCGCTGCCGCGGCTGCCGTCAGTACCAGCTGAAGTACCTCACCTCAGTGTTCCCCCAGTTACATCAGAGCCGCTCACGTCTATAAATGTAGTCTCTAAAGCATTCTCTTACTGTTTTTAAAAGCTACCGCAACAGCTGGATATTAAATGTGAGGATTCCCTGCTCGTACATCTTGCGCCCAAAGTGTCACAGCTTACGCCAGGAGAAGAAGACAGACAGGCAGAACGGTTGTTTCTGTAAATAACTGGACTGTTAATTGCGCATCCACTCTTGTAACCTGAACAGCTGGTCTAGATTTTCTTCTCACTCAGCATGTTTACAGGAAGTGATAAAAGCAAGAAAAAACTTGGTGTAAACTTTAAACGGGCTATTTGAGGCCGAAAATGGAAGCGTGACTGACACCAACAGAGCATTCATTCTTTTATGTCAATCTTTCATCATATAAAGCATTATTTATTTGTCTGTTTAACGCAGCACACCGATAAGATCGCACGGCTTGCAATTCTATGCCGTCATCTGAATTCAACATCAGCTGTCTTTACTCTGGTCGCTGCAAGATGCCAGCAGCCCTTGCAGAGAACAGCCAGGTTATCTGTGAAGTATGGGCGAACAATCTGGAAGAAGAGATGAGGAAAATTCGAGAGATTGTTCTAAGTTACAGCTACATTGCGATGGTAAATACTTTATACATGATGTAATTGCCTTTAGTCAAGGGATTTTTTTGGGTAGGGGAATAAGTTGATTCTTGAGTGAGAAATGATTTCCCCCTATCCCCAGTCAAACTGAGCTAGAAGTGGTGAAAAATTAGAAAGCAGTTCAGTAGAAGCTTTCCTGACTTTAATATGAGTAGTGTTGAGTATGGATTGAATGAAAGATGGGGAAGAGAGAGACCACGTTAAAAACCTGAATTTATTTAATATTTAGCTATTCATCATGTATTCGTTTGTGCAACAGAAAAAATGAAATTGGTCAGATATACTGGGTTTAAATCTTTGTAATGTAATTGGGTTTAAGTCTTCGTTTTCCACCAGTGTATTTGTCCTTTGACTGTCTTTCTCCGTTTGTTCATGGAAGATGCCATGGTCCTGTAGGACAAAAGGCATGCAAGTGACAACTAGTCAGCTGGGCTGCCTCCTTTTTAACGAGGTCAGATGTTGATTCTCAGGGAAGAAAAATATTCTGGCTGTAGGTATGACAGTGTGTTCAGAAAGCTTTGTTTAAGAAGACCAGAATCTCCTCCAGGTGGGAGGAATCTCTTCCTGCTCTTAAAAGCTTCTATCTGCTTGGCAGGAGCCAGTTAGTTACATAAATAACTGGTTTTAGTTAGGATCTTGTAAGTTGTGCCGACTTTGCTTAGCAATGCTAAACTTCAAGATATGAAAAGCCCTTAGTAAAAGCGTGGCATCAAAACACATGCCCCTGCAGAATGTGTAGTATTTCAGCGTAGAACGCAGTTGTGTAAGTAAGTACGGTTTTTTGTTATCATGTGTCAATGGGAAATGAGCTTGCTTGCTTCTGTTTGATTTCATTGAAAGTGTGCTTAGCACCTATTTTAGTGGCTGCGCTTTAAGAGTGGACACAAAAAGATCTTGGGCAAGGGAGAAATTTTCTCGGATACACAGCACTGGATTCTTCATGGACGTTTTTGCATATGCTCTAGTCAGTAGAAGTTACATGACCTGATCTAAGAGAAAAATAGTCTACAAGTCTGGGTTTCAGCAAAGATAGCACACAATCCCTAGCCAAGTAAAATGTTTTTTCATCTAATAGGTGGTTGCTCTGCTGTTAAGGTCTGTTTTGATTGGCAGGAGTTTTCGTTAATGTAGGCATTGGCTGTTCCTCAAAAATGGTGAAGGTTATCACTGTCTGGAATATTGAATGAAGATGGTCATAGTCCATTTTAGTAGATTTAGGGAAAACAAGAGAGAGTCCTTTGCGAGAGGGAGATGTTTAGATTATACAGTAGTGCATATTGGATGCCTTTGTAACATTTTTGTTTTGGAATAAAACAAAACTGCTAGAATGGATACCTGTAATAATGAATGAATGCAATACTTTACAAGTTGTGTAGGGTTTTTTTTTTTTTAGTATCTGACTTGTAGCAGTTTAAAATCTGTACAAATATGGAAAAGGAGGAGGAAAAAAAAGTTATTTTTACAGAATTCACAGAATGCAGTGCTGAGACCTGCAAGTGTGGAACTGAACAGGCTCCTAGATTGAGGGATTGAGAGCAGCCCTGCGGTGAAGGACTTGGGGGTATTGGTGGATGAAAAGCTGGACATGAACCAACAATGTGCACTTGCAGCCCAGAAAGCCAACCATATCCTGGGCTGCATCAGAAGCAGCATGGCCAGCAGGTCGAGGGAGGGGATTCTGCCCCTCTGCTCCGCTCCGGGCAGACCCCACCTGCAGCCCTGCGCCCAGCTCTGGGGCCCTCAGCACAGGAAGGACATGGACCTGCTGGAGCGGGTCCGGAGGAGGCCACAGAAATGATCCGAGGGCTGGAGCCCCTCTGCTCCGAGGCCAGGCTGGGGGAGCTGGGGGTGTTCAGCCTGGAGAAGGGAAGGCTGCGGGGAGACCTGAGTGCGGCCTTCAGTGCTTAAAGGGGGCCTACAGGAAGGGTGGGGACAAGCTTTTTAGCAAGGCCTGCTGTGACAGGCCAAGGAGTAATGGATTTAAACTAAAGGAGGATAGATTTAGACTGGATATATGGAAGAAATTTTTTACAATGAGGGTGGTGAGGCACTGGCACAGGTTGCCCAGAGAGGCAGTGGAGGCCCCATCCCTGGGAACGTGCCAGGGCAGGTTGGACGGGGGTCTGAGCAACCTGATCTCGGTGAAGCTGTCCCTGTCACTGCAGGGGTGTTGGGCTAGATGATCTCTAAAGGTCCCTTCCAACCCAAAGCATTCTATGATTCTAGCAGAGTAACAATAATGACTTCTAATAGACTAAGCGGTGAAATAAGATTTTCCCTTCTCTCCTAGGACACAGAGTTTCCTGGAGTTGTTGTAAGGCCAATTGGTGAATTCCGCAGTTCCATAGACTATCAATATCAGCTTCTTCGGTGTAACGTTGACCTTCTGAAAATTATCCAGCTGGGTCTGACTTTCACAAATGAGAAAGGAGAATATCCGTCCGGCATCAACACCTGGCAGTTTAACTTTAAATTCAACCTTACGTGAGTCTCCTGAGCTAGGGAATAATTGCCTATTCTCTTCTGCTGAAGTGATGCTTTCCTTTGGCAAATGCAGGTGTCTGTATGTTCATCATCAGTGGCTGGTTCTGAACAATAAAAATTCAGATTCTAACACAGATTATGTGGGAACCTATTTTGGCCTGACAGGAGTTTGCCATATTTCTGGAAGTCAACCCATACTAAAATCCTATCCTTAATAGCCTTTCCCATGATAAATAGCCTATCCCCAATAATTGTATGTGCCTTAAACTTTTTTTCTGCAACAATGTATAGTCTTAAGCTTTACACATTTTATATATATATACACATAAAAATCCATCTCTTTCTGCTAAATATAAATGGATGTGCTGTTTTCAGCAAAAAGGAAAATACATCTTTACAGATCCATGCTAAAATATTAACTGGGATCTATAAAAATGGTGTAATTGTCACACCTGTTCAGGAGAATGAGTCTTGTTAAATGGAGTGTGGCAGTTGTTCTTGTCTCCTCCATACTGCAATACCCTGGGTTACCATTGAAACAAGTTTCATTATCCGTTCCCCCGTAATTGTAAAGACAAACTCAGCATAATTGCCGCTAAAGCTGCCTGGAAATAAAGAGAGGGTTTATTTGGCAAAAACACCTTTATAGGAAATCAGTCAGTATTTTTATGGAACACATTACAACAATTCATAGCTAGCATGTGCAGATCGTACAGTTCTTGAACCCAAAAGTTGCAACATTTACTTCCACAAATTTGTGAGCCTCTTAGAAATGTTGAAATCAGAGTGAAGTAGTTTTCACGGTGTGATCACTTCATTTGACTCAGTTACCGTATTTAGCATGAATTTTGCTGTTTTGTCATGTCCTCCCCTGCCCCCCCCCCCAAATGAAACAAACTAGTATAGAAGTCAGGTTTCTGCTCAGCTCTCCAGCGAGTGTATCATCACTCATCCCTGTCCTCCTTCCTTAGTCAAGTATTATGCAATTTTGTTTACTCCCAGAGATGGAACTGGAGATGATGATATGGTGGTATGTGCTGTGAAGTGAAAAGGAAGAACGTAGACAGGAATGATGCTCAGTGCTTTAGAGTTGCACATCTTCCTATCTGGGAGGACTCCCCTTTTCTCTGTGCTGCCATCGGCGGTGCTTCTGTTTGCCTTGCACAAGTGATGTTTTTCAAAACGTCCTATAGTTCTGTTGAGGTGGATTCTTTGGAATTCGCACTAGCAACAGAATTATTAACTAGTTACGATTGCAGAATAGCTTGTTGTGGATGTAGGAAGCTGCAGTAGTGGCATTAAAACTTATTCAATTTGAATATTTTAGAGAGGCAAATGTAGAACCCAGAGATTGCCTACTGATCACTCCAGTTTTTGAAATACAGTGTGGGGGGAATTTTCCTAAAATGAGCTTCTGACTTGTTAGTACCTTGAGTGCAAAGCTGTTTTTCTCCTTCAGCGAGGACATGTACTCTCAGGATTCCATAGACCTCCTCGCCAGCTCTGGGCTGCAGTTCCAGAAGCACGAAGAAGAAGGGATCGATACCCTGCATTTTGCTGAGTTGCTTATGACATCTGGGGTCGTCCTTAGTGACAGTGTGAAATGGCTGTCCTTCCACAGGTAGGTCCGAGATGGTCAGTGATGCTGTGAAGTGAGAAATCTCTTTTTGATTGAAATACTGCTGCTTGTGTCCATGGAGACTGACACAGATTTTAAGGAGAAGAGCTAGCAGCTCTGCAGTTCTTAGAGGAAGCTTAAAGATATAAAGGCCAAGTTTAAGAAGTAAGAACACTTGGGGCACTTCATTTTGTACTAGCATTTGCTGTGGTCTGAATTTTGTGTATGCCTTTCTTGCAAATCCTTTCGCTGTTACAGTCTTCCTCTATGGAAGAAGTTATTAACAAGTTGAAATGTGATTTCTAGACTTACTAACTTGTGTGCATTGTAAAGGTTTTTGTTTCTTCTTCCTTACAATACTGGTGGTGTTCTCAACTTGCATCTTGTGTTTATGTAGAGGAAGAAATCTCTGTAGTTGTCTTTCTTGTAGCAATTCAAGCTTTGATTACAAAGCCCCTCTGGTCCTTGATATCACAAGTGAAAGGACTTGAGGGAGGAGGAGGTAGTGGCAACAGATACTTACAGAGTTTCTTGCTTTTCTGTATTGCCCATAGCTACAGAAACTTGCAGTGTTGGGAAGTATGTTCTTCCCAACAGCTTAGCTGTTCTGCAAGAGGTTAGCGGAGGCACCCAGGGAGCATTCAGAAGTCCTACATTGGCATAGATGATCCTCATCATCTGGACCCTGATCATCAGGATCATAAAGGGCAACGAAGCTGGTGAAGGGTCTGGAGAAGAAATCTTATGAGGAGCAGCTGAGGGAACTGGGGTTGTTTAGTCTGGAAAAGAGGAGGCTGAGGGGAGACCTTATTGCTCTTTACAGCTACATGAAAGGAGGTTGTAGTGAGGTGGGTGTTGGTCTCTTCTCCCAAGTAGTTAGCAATAGGACGAGAGGAAATGGGCTCAAGCTGCGTCAGGGGAGGTTTAGATTGGATATTAGGAAAAATTTCTTTACTGAAAGAGTGGTCAAGCATTGGAACAGGCTGCCCAGAGAGGTGGTGGAGTCACCATCCCTGGAGGGGTTCAAAAAGCCTGTGGACATGGCACTTTGGGACATGGTTTAGTGGGCATGGTGGTGTTGGGTTGATGTTTGGACTGATGATCTTAGAGGTCCTTTCCAACCTTAATGATTCCTAGTTTTACTTTCATTAAAAAATATTCCAGCCACCAAGCCAGGAAACATGAAATGAATTATTACTCTCCCCTTAATTGGCTTAGTGGTGGACTTGGTAATGTTAGGTTAATGGTTGGACTTGATGATCTTAAAGGTATTTTCCAGCCTAAACATTTCTATGATTCTAGGATGAATTCTGGCTCTGATCCAGAGGACTTTTATGAATGTCAGAAAATGTTAACGTTTGAAAGCTCCAGCATTTAAAACTCTTGTGAAAAATGAGATATTGGTACCGACCGAGTATAGGTGTTGCCTGCTTATCTGGTTTCTGTTTGTTTTTGTTTTAAGTGGTTATGACTTTGGCTACATGGTGAAGCTGTTGACAGATTCCAGGTTACCAGAAGAGGAACACGAATTTTTCCATATCTTGAACCTTTTCTTCCCATCTATCTATGATGTAAAGTACTTAATGAAGAGCTGCAAAAACCTCAAGGTACTTGTATCTCCCCAGCAAGCAACTGATGGATGGGCATCAACACTGTAAATGTACAGTAAGCCAAATGACAGAACTGCTGCATATATCAAGTCTTAGAACTGGAAAGTGTATAAAAGCTTATAGTCACATATAAGCACCTATGACTAAGTTTATATCCAATAGGTACTGCCTCCCCAGTTTTAGACTTACCAATATGTATATTATGTAGGGGACATTCCTATAAACTTCCAGTTTGTGTATCAGTAATTTCAGAGGCTAGCTATAACTCAGCATGCTTATCTTCCCTACGCAAGGTAGAGTATTTCTTCTTACATGAACTATTACATGATTTGATTAACTGGTAGACAGTCTGAGGGTTGAAAGTAATTTATGTACTCAATCACAGCCTTGTTTGAGGAAGGGGAGGGAAAGGTCCATCATTTGTAACCTGTGAATGTGCTCTCACACATCTCAAGTCTCTGCAGTAGGAAAGCAAGGTACCTAAATTTGAGAAGAGTATTTATGTGTTCTTGAACAGTATTTAGCATCGTGTTTCACTCACAGCTGGTGTGTGTGTGTGTACTGTTGAAATCTGCATTGATTCATCGTAGCTAGTGTTTGCCCTCGTGTTTTGGAGAGGCGTGGCAATGTTGCTAAGAGGTGGATCTTCCAAAATAAAATCTGTTCTGTTCTCATTGCAGGGTGGCCTTCAAGAAGTGGCAGATCAGCTGGATTTACAGCGAATTGGACGACAACACCAGGCAGGATCAGACTCTCTTCTCACGGGAATGGCATTCTTCAGAATGAAAGAGGTACTGCAGTAGTATTCTTTATGGTTCTTCTTTCTCCAGTTCTATCCATAAATGTCAACATGCACAATGTGTTTTTTGTTTTGGGGGTTTTTTTGAGCCTTGTGGCCATCACACTTAAAACTGTCAGTAACTGGAATTGTTGATATTGGTACATACTTCTTCTGTTTACTCCTCTTTCGTGCGCTTATTTTAAATCCCACACTGCATCTTAGAGGTGTCTGACTTCAAATGAGCTGTTTAATTAACATTAGGTCCTTTCTGATTTAGAGGCACAATTAAACAAAACCTGTTTCTTCCCTTTTTTTTAAATCTGCAGTTGTTTTTTGAGGATACAATTGATGATGCAAAGTATTGTGGGCGGCTGTATGGCCTTGGCACAGGAGTGGCTCAGAAACAAAATGAAGATGTGGACTCGGCCCAAGAGAAAATGAGCATTTTGGCTATTATCAACAACATGCAGCCATGATAAGCAGTACCCCTCAGCAGAACATGGTTACCATATTGGCAGCTGCTGTCCTCAACCATTTTCCCTGATAGTGTCTCAAACAAAAGGCATCTACAGTATACAGCCTGCAGAAGGCCTGCAGTTTTGCTGAAGAGCTGCATCTTCATTTGAAACCCAGAGAATTGACTGAATTCCTAATGCCAGCATTTGTGGTTTGCCATCTTTTTAATACCAAGGGCAAAAGACAGAACCTACTGTGTATACCTCTGTTTTTTTCCTCTTTATACTGTACAGAATCTGCAAGGAAGACTTAACGGTAGAAGATTCAGTAGAGCTAAGGGTCTGGAAATCTAGTGAAGATGGACACAGACATGCACACAAATTTGTAAATTGTGCTTTATAAAGCTTATTTTAAAACTTCTGCATGTTGTGAGGGTGACTGCTTCACCTCATGTTTTGCTTATTTTATCTTCGTGTAGTCTGTGGAAATTGCTCCCTTTGATCACTGCAGAGGTTTGGGAATGGATGACATTAAAAATGATCCTTGCAGCTAAAAATATTCAGAGATTTGCTTTAACAACAATGGGAATGGATATTACTGGAGCTGATTTGATCAGCTCTCCATGGTTTCTAATTCTGTATGGTACAGGTTTGACCCATACTGATCCTCAGCTTAGTTCTTATGGGCATTAATAAACCATTCTGGAAATAGGTTGAGAGACCTAAAGTTCACCTTTGACAGGGGATTGGACCAATACTCTACTCTGACTTCAGTTTTCTTCAACTTAACCTACAAATTTTATTCTTCTCCTTGCAACACAAGTAGTTCAGCAGATGGAGAAATACTTCCTCTTCTCCCCCACTTCTCCAGCCCCTAATTTTACTATATGCTTAACAACAGACAAAACAGCTCCATTTCTCTTCATTATAAACCTCTGAAAAGTAGTTAGAGGATGGAAGAACAACTTGAGATTGACTTTTTTTTTACAAAATGAGCTATTCTATAGTATTTTTTTTTCAACAGCTCTGTAATGACATTTCTTAAAAAAAAAAAGAAAAAAACCCTTTTAGACATGGCAAACTTAAACTTTTAAGACTTTGTCTTGCATTTTAAACAAGCGTAAACAATCCATTATTAGGAGTTGAGGTTTACAGCTGGTATTTAAAATGCTTGTAAATACTACTTGTTTTTAATTTTTGTAAAATAAATTTTTTTAAACCAGGCCTTGTTTTGGATTTTCCATCAAGTACTAAAATTCCCAAAGTTCAGGCTTTGGAATCTGTATCAGAGCATACATGCTCAAAGATGCTCAAGTTTCTTTCTTCTTTTACCATTCATGATGTGCTACTGGGGTAGTTCTTAGTTAAAATCTGCTTTTGAGCTTGTACAGTAACTGATTGTAAGCTTAAGATCTCTTTGGGGGACTTTTATTCTTTTTCTGCTTGTCTCTCAGCACAGCCAGCAGTATTGTGGTGTATTCTTTCAGTGCAGCATAGCCACTTAAAGTGACAAATCCATTCCGCTCATCTGTCCTGTGTGAAGTTTTCCTGCTCCATCTAAACTCCAATGGTTCGTGCTCAAAGCATAGGAGGACTGTTTGGTTAAGCACTAGCTCCCCCTCCTGGTTTTTCAAGTACTTTGTATAAAATTTAGCAAGATCAAGTTACTGGCAACGGTTTACCAGATTAACACATACACAGAAGTATCTCCTTTTAGTATAACCCCTGGCTTTCACCTACTGCTCTTCAAATTTTTCTAAGGCTTTACTCAGCTTGGAGCAGGAAATCTTATCAGTATCAAGTTGTGGCTGGAAGAATTTGGAACAGCTCTTGATATAAAAAAAAATCCATCCCTCCTACTTTTAAAAAACTTTCTAAATTCATGACCCCCCCACCCTACCGTGAACTTTTCTGCTGCATTTAAAAACTTGTCTAGAAGTTACTAAGATGCTATGTTCATTAAGGCTTATGCAGCCTTGTTCTTCTCTTCAGGAGTTAGTTTTTCAGGTAAGCTTTAAGACTGGTCAAAACGTTGCATGTTCAAGGCTCCAGAATCAAGGATTGGTTTTGGCACTTCCAGAATAGCAGCTTTTCTGGAGAACTTGATAGTACCTCACATTTACCATCACTGTAGCAAAAAGCAGTTTGTTCAGCCATGAATGTTGCCAAAAGCAGGGACTTTTCTTAACCTGGAGAAATCCCTTGTCTCTTGCTAGTCATGCTGGAAACAAATACAAAAGTTCTTACCCGCCCTTTTATATTGTACAGGTGGCTTCACCATGCACAGCTAAGTCATAGCACACACTTGTTTTATCTACTGAGTTTGATTTATGTATGTAGTATGTTTAACAAAAAAACCCCAGGCTTATTTTTAATGCATTTGCCCTTGATTGATACTGATTTCTATCCATCAAATTAAATGCCAATTCATAGGAGTAGAAGACTTTATTTAAAGGAGGGAAAATAAACTCACAATGCTTTTAAGAACAATACTGGCTTAAGGGTCATTTTGCTTACAGAAACCATTGTTTTTCCTGAAGGCAGCTACTATTCCTCCTCTGCTGAAAGACTGATAGAGCTGCTCAAAACTGTTTCTCGTACATGTAAATAGTAAGAGCTTTCATTTGGATAACTTCCAACAAATAAAAAAAGACTATACAAAAAAAACCTGTATACAGTTCAAGCCCACAACCATTGAAATTTTATTTCTAAATTGAAATCTCCTTAAGTAGTACTAGTTGATGACCACAAGTGAGTCTGTATATAAACATGATTTTTCATAGTTTTATCCAAAATGACCATGGCCATCAAAACAAGCCTTCACTTGAAGAAAGAACAGCCTTGGTGTTAAGTAGCTGTAGGCAGCTCAGGGGAGACAGTTTGGTCTCAAAATGTCATGTCAAGAACCTCCTGCTAGCCTTTTTGTGAATATTAGCGCTACTGTGTTTCCTAAGGAGATCCAATGCCTGTTCGTGTAGTTCAGGAGGGCACTGCGGTCCTATGTGAAGGAGTACAAGGCAGCACTCCAGCACGTCGGGGAACGGGAAGACCTGCAAAAAAAGGAACATGAGGTGATGTCTACTAGAACAATTATAATTGTTCAACTGCAACATTATTCAGGCAGCCAGCTCTCTAAAGACACTGCTTTATAGTATCTTTGGAAATGATAGTCATGAGTCAGGTGCATTTTTTAACTCTTCTTCCAGTGCATTAGCTCACGTTTAACCAGGTTTGCCCCCTCTTGCACAATCACCATGATTACCTTTACTTACAGACTAGAGAACAGAGGGGATGAGACAGCCTAGGAAACATTGTTTTCAAACATGTGATGTGTACTTTCTACAGTTCCCAATCTATAAAGGCCATTTTATACCTTACATTTCTGATTTCACTGCTTATCAAAACTGTTTTTTGCATACATAATTCTAAGTAGCAAGGGATTACTTTTAAAATGCATGGGAGACATTCATACAGAATATCCCATTGAGTTCTCCCATGCAGGAGCTTTACCTGCACTTTCCAACTACACGGAGAAAGTTATGCTTGAAAGAAAAATACTACACTGATGCCATGTGTCAATTCTCTCTCAAAATTGCCACACGATCACAAAGAAAGTCACTTTTCCTTACTTTCTGTATGAAAGGGATTCTGTGATGAGGCTGCCCTTACAAAAAGACTGTCTTTTTTCAGAACCACAGTACCTCTTCTGAAAACTTACTTTTAAGTTGTCTGGAAATTCTGCTAGTTTCTGCTTTGCTTTTAGAAGCTGCTTCGTTAGCTCAGGGAGCGTAATTGGTTCCTTTACTTCATCTTTACTGTCAAGAAAAGAACAGGTATCATGAGCAACTGTTTTGCTTAAATGACTGCATAGCCTCCCTCCTGTACAGGGAACACAAGAGAGAACTGGACAAGTGTTATGTGCTCTAGCTCGTTCTTGCCAAAGTTCCAAATAATTGTTCAACAAAGAGACAGGCCTCTTAGATCATGTGTGTCCTTTTCATTATGCATTATTTCATTGTCCCCTCCTTTCAAGCTGCCCTGTTTATTCACCCTACCAACACACCCTGTGTATCAAGAAATTACTCAACTGTAATTAAGTTTATGTAGATCATGCGTGTCCTTTTCATTATTCATTATTTCATTGTCCCCTTTCAAGCTGCCCTGTTTATTCACCCTACCAACACACCCTGTGTATCAAGAAATTACTCAACTGTAATTAAGTTTATGCACATGGTACTTCAGCCCCAGGGAAATGCAAGACTTTTAAGCTGTATATTCAAGTGTCCCTGTGTGACAAGCTTAAAATTAGAGGCAATCTGAGCTAAACAGGACGTTTGCTGCACAAACACACAAAAAAGCAATGCTTTTCAATCCATTCATTCATGTTCTGAAGCTTACCAATTCGTCTGGCTGCTGTCAGAGCATGGTTTGTCTGACTCAGCCTCTGAACTGTGCTGCAGGTTGCTTTCCTGGGTGCTTCCATTTGTATTTTCCTGGAGGTTGTTCCTCTGCTGCTGATGCTGGCGGATCATATCTGCTAAAATCTGCTGGACCTCAGCTATATCTCTCTGTGTGTTCTGTAAAGCAGCAATTTCTTCTGAAAGAAGCACTTTGCAGCCATTCAGTTTTGACTGTCTGTCTACCAAATCAACTGAGCTAGTTCTTGAGTCACTTTCTGTCTCACACCTAAGAACTTCAGTTGTATTGCAGAGGTTTTCATCCATCTCAACTGCAGTTTGATCAGGAGTTTCTTCAGAGGAGGATTGACCTGAAACGTAGCTCTTCTCAAGAGCTGTCTGCTCACTGGGACACAGCACAGGATCCAAAACAGCCTTTTGCAAGACAAGGGAGTCGTCGGGTGGGTTCCACCACAGGTCATACAGCTGTCCGTAAGCCACAAAGCCCTCTAAACTTCTGCAAGCGTGCGTGCTCTGAGAATTTGTGCTGTCCAGTTTGCATCTCAGGTTATCACAGCCTAATAATGAAAAAAAAAAAAGGATTACAAATAGCTTATAGAGATTTCCAAAGAAAAAGACTGTATCTGGTAAATGAATGGCTATCCTGAGGAGACCCAAACCAGAGATTTACTCAGATGCTGGCAGAGTGGTGCAGGAAGCAGAAAAGCAAAGGCAGACATTTTTTGGCATCTTTTTAAACACAATAATCTGTTCTAGCTAGCATGAGACTCCATGTTCTCATCATCTACATCTCATCATCATCTCTACATCTACATCATCTACAAGCTGCACATCAAGATAATTCACATGATCAAGAGCCACAAAATAAATGCACTGCATGCTCTGCAGAGAATGAAGGGAAGGACGGCTTGGAGTGATTTGTAACTATGAAATGAACACAGCTTTCCGATGTCCCCATCTCCCTTATGGAACAGAATTTGCAGTTTCCTACATCAGCTGTACCAGCTGACACTGCTGAGTGTCCTTCCACAGTCAGGAATTTCTGATTGCTCAGCGGCACTTGCAGTAGCCAAATTCCACAGGTTTCCAAATATATGAGTATGTCTTGCTCTTTGCAAACATTATTATGCCTAGTAATATTAATGGACACACAGCTGTGCTTACAAGGAAGATTCCCGTATCTGCAGTGCCAGGAGATACAGAAGAAGAGACTTACCTTCAGGAAGGATGATACTGCAAATCTCTTGCATCAGAGTGAAATTACCAGCATCGTAACTGTGGGTCACAGCTCCAAGAATACTTTTCACTGCCTCATCCCAGGTAGCAGTCTGAAAGCTCAGGGCTGCAAGGGTCAGGTCATGGGAGATACGGAAAAGCACCTACCGGAAGCACCAGAGAGCATGATTAATAGCTTTACTGCAAAGCATGAATTACTCGCAGCTTATGAGCATTGTGGAACAGCCCAGAAGCATGTGTCTTAACCAAAAGCAATTTTAATGACACTGCAATTTACATAGTCTCCTTCATGCAGGAGATACAGCACTTTTACATTACTTATAACTGGAAAGTCAGCAGCTGTGCTTGCATGAGGCCTACTAAACAGATGAGAAGTGGGAGTACACCAAAG